AGAACGAGTCAAACCAATTCTGAGTATCTCTTAATTCATTTCACTGGCATTCTGAGAGGGGTATATCGAAAAACTCATGCATTTACGGGCAAAGGTAGCGAGATAATAATGCGCAGGATTTTGGATCAGAATATGAGTTTGTTAGAGGCAGTGGGCACGATGGCTGGGCTGGCGGATACTTTCAACGTCGTTGGTGGAAAGAGGGCGGGTATAGCCAAAGGCCTTCTCACAACCATTCCACCAGTGACGTTGGCAGCGACGGCCCACCCTCCAGCCATCGTGCCCATTGCCTTCAATTGACTTACAGTCGTTTTCGCTGAAAACGCTGGAGCGTATCAAAGGTGGGCTGCTTTTGCGGCGAAGCCAGCCCGTTCTTCAGCAAGCATTCAAGAAGTGTAGCGACAACAGTTGGTGGAATACATGGTGCCGCACCAAATCAAGCCTCCTGTGATGCCCTGCAGCGGGAGCGACTGTACCAATGAGAAAAAACAGACGAATCCTTCAAATAAGCCCCAAGTAAGGCCCCCTCACTGTACTTGACACTCAGCGATGTTCGAGAAGCGGCGGAGATCTACAAGGAGGGGGGGTCAGGGACGGTGTGGGAGAGGACAACAATTACAAAGATTGTGTGGGCGGAAAAAACGGAGCGGGAAATGTAGAAAGGTTCTTCACACATATGCTGTATGGGCGTATGGCGCCTTTCATCTGTTTTCTGGGCGGTGGGGGGGGGTGCCAGCAGGTGGACTGAGTTACTGATGTGAATGATTCCTGAGCGGCCATTCCGTTGGTTCACCTTCGACACCGCGGATTGACACGTTACTACGACCAGTATAGTGTATCCCACATCATCGTGCATTGGTCGCGCTCTGAAGCTTTAAACTGGTTTGTTGAAACTGCGCAGATTAGACCACCTGAGCTAAAAGGAACAAATGAAAAAAAGAAGGTTGCCTCACTTACCCTTGGAACAAGGCAGGGGCTATATCCCCCTTACGCCAGGAAGTCTACTTCCCACACGATACTTAAAGTTTCTATGCGGAATTGATAAGATTCAAAACTCACAGTCTTAAATCAAATCCTTTTTTATATTACAACGATCAAATTTCTGTCCTCTTCAGTGACGGGTAAAAACCGCAGGTCGTACCCTTGAAGCTGCAGGGTACACCATCTTTGGCCGGAATCCATCAAGGAGCCGCATCTGGTCCCCAGGGAGTGGGAGTCATATGTAGCCTCGAGCAGAATTTCTTCTGTTTGTTAATTTTTCCCGTCTCACTCTTCCACTGCGGTGGTTGGAGAAACCAAAGGAGAAATTCGGGATAAGTCATTACTCTTTGGCGTTATCACTCCACCCAACCGGTGCTGTACCCTGTGGAGCTGGGTCCACGTTCTCAAGCAAGCAGGTTTTCTTGCAGGTCATTTTCTTCTGAACCCAGTTTACTCCTGCCTGCATTGGAGAAGGCGCCGAAAGCACGGATCGTTATTGTGTCGTCGAAATGGCACCTCTACAGCAAAGCGCTAGACCTGTCCACTATTGATGACAAGAAGAAGTTCAGCGTGTTCGATTCATACTATCGCAGCAAGCTTGCCAACGTAAGTAAATTGAAAGGAGACGGGAAGGCTTTCTAGAGCCGTCTGGCTCTTTTTTAAGGCCAGGCTATGTGCTGAGAAGCATCGAGGCATCTGTTGTGATATTTGTTCTTATCTCTGAAGAAGTACAAGTTGGTTAGTAGTCTTTGGTTTAGGTGATGCATGCTCGTGGATTTTCCCGAAAACTTCACAAACTTGGCATTCACCATGTTACTGTGAATTCGCTGCATCCAGGTATTGTGAACAGTAATCTGCCTCGATACACACCTTTCACCAAAACACCTTTACGACAAATAACTGCACCGTTCAGGTGGGTTCTTTCATGCTTTCTTATTTTCATGTTCATATCGCTTGTAGGTCTAGTGGCACAATAGGTAAAGGCGGGGCTTACCATGTGTTCTGGTGATCGAACCTCTTATCGACTACTCTCCCAAATCCAAACAGGCCTTGGAGGTCGGCTGCTTGGTGGTGCACCTATAAAACCCTAACTTGTACATCGGTTAGTCCCCGCAAGTCATTGTATAGGCTATATGGCCTTCACAATGCTGCGGCGATGATGTGTATAGCTGGTGTATGCGGCGCATCCTAAAAAGGGTTTGATTTACGTTGGTTTTTATCCTTTGATATCCCTTGATACTTCACCGTGAGCAGCGTAAGGCAACGTTCAGACTTTGCGATTACACGCGCCGACGCGCTTTCTCTGCGAAGGCGCCCCAGTGTCATAGACCCGAACGCAACCGCAGACGGTTGTCGATCGGTGGCCGCTTGTGTTCTGGGAAAGATAGGATAACGGGGGTACTCTGCCATTCTTCCATAATCTCCCGAACCTCCAGTATCGATCGATGCCAGACTGTTTAGGCAGAGTGTCCTTCTTTTTCCACCATACTCTTGACGCCGCCGACCAGTTCCCATTCTGCGCTGCGTCGCGTCTGTAATCGGCTGGAGCGCCGGACATTGTAAGCGCCGACGCGGCGATAGGGGTCGAAAGTGCTGAACGCTGCCCAATCGCTAGAGCGAGCGAATCGTTTCCAGGGTATCAGTTCCTATCTGACGGCGCGCCAGTAAGCTTTTTTCCGTGCTTGATAACACCAAAGTCCAAGATGTAAACAGTGCTGAACATTAGTTGTTTCTGATATACGTATGTACCTCTTTATGGACTGGAAACGGAAAAGCTAGGTGAAACCATGAAATACTGTTGCCATCCAGCAGTGGCAAGTGAAATTGTATATGAGCGCATATGGGAGTGGTTGTCGGTCATGTCATAGCGATGAGGATTGCATCAGCGCTTTCTTGTGCAAAGAACCACATCACTGGGAGGGGAAAGAATCCCACTGCGTTAAACGTCGATTAGAAGTGCTTGAGGAGGGAGCAGGGGGGGGTGTCAAGTCCTGGGGGTTGGTATCTGGTTCTGATGGAAATTTTCTCTGAGCCTGCGATGAGGTGTTTTGTAGCACTCATCACGGCAGCCGAGGTGTGGCGAAAAACAATATTAATAGAGGTGCGTCCGCAGAACTATATGGTCAGCTTGCCATTTGTGGTTGTTAGTTTTCCTAATTCTTCTCCGTATCATAGCGTCATACATCTCGTGTACGCCGGCGGACCTGGGCACATCATTGTTGGGGATTTCCCAAGGAGGGTAGTATTTGGTCCCTGGGGGAGGGGGGTGGGGTCGCAATGAGGGCAGTCATCAACGAGCAGCGCAGGGTGTCAGTGTGCTGAGTCCTGTATAGTAAGGCTTGCTTTGTAGAGAACGCGGGTATGTGAGAAAAAATAGTACAAAACTTTCATTGATTAAACTAATCCGAAATTAATTGGAAATATTAATAAGTCGACATCATCTCGTAAGTTCCTTGATGACTAAAAGTGAGCAACTCAAGTACTGTGCTTCCGGCTGGGCGGATTGATGGAGCGTGTCCAAGTGACCGCGCTTTGGCATTTGAGCCAACCTCTTTTTTTTTCGACAAACGACAATTCGTATCAGACGTTTTCCAGCAGTGAGTCTCCTTAATCGGAGTCAGCAATTGGCGGAGCACAGATCTGGCAGCGTCGACCGCCCGACTCCATCAATCGGCAACGGTCGGCCCTGTGGCAGGAGATGAAAACACTCTCTGAACAAAGTTGCGTGTTCGCCATGGACCGTCGCCTGAATTTCATTACGCACAGTCTGCCGCGGTAAGACAGGGCATTGCCATGGAAACTTGCGCCATCCCTACCACTACCAGTCTGCATGGCACCGTAACATGGCCGTATCTCGCAAATGAAGCTACTGGGCGCTAAAACACCTACTGCTTGCTCCTATTCCACGAAGGGATGCTCTCTAGATGCATTCCTGGATTCCGAATACGCCCACTTGAAGCGGTACGCGGAAAACGGATTTTACGAGCAGCTCGGAGTGTTCTTTAACAAGTCCCCAACGCAATTATCTCATAATCTCAAACAGTTGAGTTTCAAGGAAAATATCTTCGTTCAAACCAGGACAGTTTGCATGCAAAAGTCAGAATCCCCAACGATTCCCCAACGCTGAATTTCTTCCTAAATTTGGCAACTTTTATAAACATTTCAGCAATTTTCGGAAAGATTAAATCTTTTTTTCACGACTGCGTTATTTTTTCTTTCCAAACGGTCTGCGTTTAACCCATTCGTGACAATGTCCGCCACTGGTGGTGGACACCGAAATGTCCACTTCGGACCATGTCCACCATATGTGGCGGACGGGCTTTTGATGGAATTTTTAGAAACAGTTCAAAACCTTCGAGGAGCTTTTTCCAGTGATACAAGTCTTCATACCTTCGTTTATTTATGCAAATAGTGGACCAACGAGATCTTCACTTATAAGGGTCCCAGGCACGATTCAACTAGAAAAGTCGATTGGCGCCGTTCCGAGGCCAAACGGCGAGACCCCCGTATGCCCAAAGTGAATCGTTTTGCAGTTTGAATGAGAATCCACCTCAACATGCAAGCTTACCCTGGTTTTCGTGGAAAAGACATAGCACTAAATTAGCGCACATTGGCGCCAAATAGCGCCGGAGGACGGAGCAAATGTCATTTTTGTGACTTGAGGAATATTCCTCTGCACTCGAAGATTTAGCGTTCGGGAGCAGTAAGTAGAATAGTGCAAAAAATTTTGGTAAGGGGTCACGAGGGACCGTGTCCACCACTTGGCGGACACTTGCTGAGAGCTCGCAAATGCTCCGGTCCGAACGAGCCGTTTTCGAAAAACGCGCATGGTCGCGATTGGGTTAAGGAAGTTACTTTACTAAAGGTCTGCCCCATACAATCACCTTGCGGCGTTGGTCCTGCCCAGAACCCCTCCAATCAATTCCTCCTCCGTTTTCAGCTGATTGCGGCTATTCTTGTAAACCTGTCTTCTTTTTTCATATGCGTTTCATTGTGTCTCTTTGAACTGCTCTAACATTTTGCCTTTGGCATCTGTCAACATCGATGCTCCTGCACTATTTACGTGGGATTGCTATGTTAAGCTGTGGATTGCATCATTACTGGATTTTGCTGCTACCATTGCACTTTCTTATCAATAAGCGAACCTGGTTCTAGTCTTCGCTCCACATCTTACAACTTTTTTAGGTTTTTTTACGATTAGCCGAACACTTTTCTCGGCACTATTGGACTATTCCTACCCGGGAAATCAAAATTTTTTGCCGGATTACTATAGGGGCAGCTCGGTGCCTCACGCGCCAAGTGGCGCCAGCGCCGAAACGAGTGTGTTGTTCGTGATTAGTGCACCG